TTTTCCTCTAGTCCCTATCTAGTCTTTTTATTCTCTCAACAGTGTCATCCAAAGAGCAGAAGTTCTTAATTTTGATCAAGTCCAGGTTATCAATTTTTTTTCTTTTGTGAATTATACTTTTGCTATTTTGTGTAAGAAATATCTCAAGATTATAAAGATTGTCTCCTATATTCTACAAGTTTTATAGTTCTATGCTTTAGTCTAGTTCTATGATCCATTTACTCTGAGTTAATTTTTGCATAGTGTATGAGGAAAGGATCAAAGTTTATTATTTTTTTTTTGCATATTGATATTCAGTTTTTCCAGCTTTGTTTGCCTTAAAGACTATTCCTTTTATCAAACTTGGAAAAATTTTGACTGTTGTTTTCTTCAAATGTTTCTACCCACCTGTTTCTCCTCTGGTGACTTCAGTTATGTGTATATTAGGCTCCTTGAAGTTGTATCATAGCCGGATAGTCTGTTTATTTCAATCTTTTTTTCTCTGTGTTTCATGTTGGATTATTTTTATTTTTAGGTCTTTAAGTTTACTAATCTTTTCTTCTGCAGTGTCTAATCTGCTGTTAATCACAGGGGGTATATTTTTCATCTCAGATATTTCAGATTTCATCTCTAGAAGTTTGAATTGGGTCTTTTTTATATCTGCCATGTGTCTACTTAACATGCCCAGTCCTTCCACTAGCTTCTTGTATATATGAATACAATAATGTAAAGTTAAAATAATCATTGTAACATATTGGTCTACTAATTCTATTATATTTGTCGTTTCTGGGTCACTCTTAGTTAACTGATTTTTCTCCTCGTTATAGGTTATATTTTCCTGCTTCTTTGCATGCTTGATGATTTTTGATTGGCTGCCAGGCATCATCAATTTTATCTTATTGAGTGCTGGATATTTTTATGTTAGAAATATTTTTAAGCTTTGTTCTCAGATACAGTTAAATTACTTGAGAGTAGTTTGATCCTTTCAGATCTTTCCTTTAAAGCTTTGTTAGGTGCAGCCAGAGCAGGGTAAGTCTAGGGCATGACCCTTCTAAGTACTTTACTCAGTGTCTCATAGATTAGGAGGATTTTTCCACTCAGCCTGGTGAGAACAAACACTATTCTTGATCCTATACGAAATCCTGATAATTGTTTCCTGTAATGCTTTCAAATAACTCTTTACCATCAATGAGGAAAGAGCTGCACAGAGAGAAGGCTCAGGTAGCTTCCTCATAGACATGCATTAATCAGCACTCAAGGAAGGACAAGAGGGAGTCCCCCACAGTTCTAGAGCCCTCTCTGTGCAGCTCTTTCCTCGCTGATGCTCTGTTCCATGCACTGTAGCCACCTTGATCTCCCTGGTCTCCTAGCTCATCTTCTCAACTTGGAGACCACCAGGCTCCACCTAGATTCTCCCTTCCTGAGTTGCAACCTGGAAACTTTCTCTGTGCAGTTAGTTATGGCAATTGTGCAGCTCATCTTGTTTGTTCCCATCTTTTAGGAATGACTGTCTTCATTGTCTGATCTCTGATATCTTAAGAAACATTTTTTCATATTTGTCCAATGTCTTAGGTTTTAGGTTAGAGGATCCTTGTTCCTTTGTCTAAATCAAAGTGGGAGTCATTTTGTCTTTACTTTTATTGCCATAAAAATTTAATTTTTGAATATGTGAATCATTCCCATGGTTCAAAAATCAAAACATATTAATATGTATTCAGTTGAAGTCTCCCTCTGAATCCTTTCAACTATCAACTTAGTCCTCATCCCTCCCCACAATAAGAAACCATGCTATTAGTTTATTTTTCGAGTTTCTTTATTCATATGCAAGTAAATAAAATTACACATTCTTATTCCCCTTCCATCTCCTTTTTCATGAAAAAGTTGCATAGTATACATGCTATTTTTAACCTTAATTTTTTCACTTAACCATATATCTTGAGAATCTTTTCTTATTGGTGCACAGACTTCCTCCTCTCTTTCTCACACACACACCCTTATTTAACAGCTATAGTGTTACATTGCATAGACTTATCATCATTTGTTTAACTAGTTCCCTATTGTTAAATAATTAGATTGCTTCCAATCTTTTGCTATTAGGAATAGCAATAATTCATAGTCTTGGGCATAAGTCATTTTGCCTGTATCCGAGTAATGTAACTATTGAATACATTCCCAGAAGTGGATTACTAGGTCAGATGGTTTATGCATTTGTAATCTTGATACCTGTTGCCAAACTGTCCCCACCCTACACCCACCCCCAAGGGGTGAACCATTCTTCCACAAGCGTGTTACGAAAATGCCTATTAGATCATAGTCCTATCTACAGAATGTTATCAAATATTTGGATTTCTGCTAATCTAATAGGAAGAATTTGTATCTCTACCCCGAGTGAGATTGAACATCATCTGTATTTAAAAGCCATTTGCACTTCCTTTTCACTATTCTATCTACTTTAAATTGTTGGCCATTCAGTTTTTACTTTTAGTAATAAGAATAGGAAATTGAAATATTTTAGTAGATGGTGTTTAAGTAATTTAATAATGAACTAGCAATTAACATTTATAGCCTATTATTGAAGCACTTTAAAATGCATTTAATAAAATATAATTATACTAAATCTACTCAAATCTTTAATGCTCTTAAGGTCATCATAAAATACTTAGATCAAAGGTTGGGTTAATTGATTTTTCAGAAATTTTTATAGTTTGAAGTAAAACTAGGTTAATCGGAGATTTTGGGCATGAGAGTAATGTTCCAATATTAGTTCGGCAAAAGAAAAATAAGAATTGTTTCTTCTAGAAATCTTTTACATTTGCAAGATGTGATTTACATTCCATAAATAATGACATTTCCAGAACAATTTGATGGAGTGGGGGAACAAATGTTTGAAATTTGGATTATCTTGTAAAGCCTAAGCTTTATGGTTACAAAATATATTCTGTCCCACACATAAGAATGATAAACATGTTCATGATTACATGACAACATGCTCTTACTATTCTTCTTTCAGTGCACCTTTCTTGAAAAGTAAGGAGTATGCAGATATTTTTATAATTTTGCATACCAGTCCTTTTTCTCTGCCTCATCTCAAATACCTCTGATTTTTTGCTTCTATCGTTTATAATTTCGAGGAAACTTACCCTGTGTACAATTAATTAGGGAAGTAGTTGCTTTACCGAATGAGTGAAGTAATAAAATAGGCACATAGTTTGCTTATATTTTGTTAATTTATTATAAATTAAAAATCTGGCTTTATTTATGCAAGTGGAAAATATATTTTTAGAGTTGCAAGAGTATGGAGCGACATCCAGCACACATCCGTCAGGTATGGTGTCATTCCAGAACATTCATTGGTACTCTGTTTTTCTGTCTTATCAGTCAACTAAATTTACCTTGGTTAAACTTAATCATTTTGGGTTTTTTCCATTGCCAAAGCATGGAACTGCATGCCTTTGTCAAGTTAGCCAATTATCATATTTTAGCAGTCCTAATATTGTGTGTATGCTTGGTTTTTAGGTATTTCTAAAATTGGATATCAGGAAAAAAATTATTGGCTTATTGATTTTTTTAAAAATTAATACTTAGCCCTTTCAAAGTTATTGAAAATGTTCTGAATGCTTTCTGACAAAATCATCCATTGTAAACAACTAAAATTTTGTCATATATCCCCAAATTTAGTTATTTTTATGTTACTTTAGTATGCATCAATCACATTACTTTTACCACAGTAATAAACTTGTGCTATTTGAATATCTTGATTGTTATAATTATAGAAGTATGATAAATAGAAAAATAACATTGTTATTTTGACTAATGTGCTTTCCTGCTTATTAAAGTTTGCTTGTTAATTAATGCTAAGGCAATTCTTATAGAAGAGAACATTTGAATTTCTATAAATATGTATGAAACAACCGTTTTAAGAAAGCAGTTGGTCTGAACTTGCCATCAAATACTAAAAATGCTTAATTTAATTAGAATTCAAATTAAAGTGAATAAGCGAAATATTTCAAATATTGGAGATCATAACAGTGGTAATGACAGTTTTATTAATAAAGCAAATTTTTAAAAAAGGTGTATACTTAAATGAATTTAAATTGGATTTCAGTATTTGTCTTATAATTGATTTATTACTGATCATTTAAATTTAAGGTGAGCATATAAATCAGAGCGAGATGATTCTGAAAAACTGTTTTCCACACTAGTTCTAGCAAATGTAAACCTGTGTGAATAAAAAATATTTTACCAGGGGGCCGGCCCGGTGGCGCACTCGGTAGAGTGCTGCGCTTGGGAGTGCGGCGGCACTCCCGCCGAGAGTTCGGATCCCATATAAAGACCAGTCCGCTCACTGGTTGAGCACAGTGCGGGCGCGACACTGAGGGTTGCGATCCCGTTGCCGGTTGCGGTATGGGCGCGACACCGAGGGTTGCGATCCTGTTACCGGTCACGAAAAAAGACAAAAAGGAAAAAAATATATATGTTTTACCAGGGACGAAGTTGGGTTTTTATTTTTTTAAAAAAGATCACCAAATATATTTCAGGTCTGACTTCAACATGAACTTTTATTGTTAATTTTGATTTTAATAGCCCTTTCACAAAGTCAGTTCCAATATGTCTGAAATATACGCCTTAAGTCAACTGCATGTATTATTTCATGATATCAATTGGAATGTAGCATTTATTTGCCTTGTTATGTGGTGCTGGTTGGAAAATCAAGTGAAAAGATTGAGGGAAAGTGGAAGAATGGTGGAATAGAATGATTAACAAACTCTTTGTTGATTTAAGATTAGACATTAAAATAGAAATGAAATTTTAATAATATTAATATTCATTTCTTATTTTTCTGATACCAAATTATTAATATTCTACTAACGATTTTTGTTTGTGAGAGACAAGTTCCTTATCTGAAGTACTAACTACATTGTCAGTGACAATTAAATCACAGTGGTTTAAAAAGAATTTCAAATATCCAGTGGCAAATGATACATCATCTATAGTATTTTTAACTGTGCTTTGTGTTTTAGGTATTTGTGAAGTGTCATTTTGATTACAATCCATACAATGATAACTTGATACCCTGCAAAGAAGCAGGATTGAAGTTTTCCAAAGGAGAAATTCTTCAGATTGTAAACAGAGAAGATCCAAATTGGTGGCAGGTATGCTTCTCCATATTTCTTCACCTGTTTTTCTGTTTTTAATTTTAGATTTGGCCAGCATTTGAATATTCAGAAAGAAGGTATTAGCATTTGTTCCAATGGTTTTTCCCACATGAACAGCTCCTGCTTCATGGCTAATTTCATAGACATAAGACCAAATTGAGAGGGAATTTGTGAGTAGCTGTAATTAAATAAAGAATTAACCAGCCTGTGGTTCTATCCCATTGGTTTAAGGACAAAACCGATTGGTTCTTTCACATGGGTGATTGCGTTAAAATATTCTGTTGAGTAAGAAGAACTCACTTGGGACCATCCCTTTTCAATGTTTGGTTTTTGTTTGTTTCAGCTAGGAGCCTTCTACTAATTTTATAGTAGTCTTCCTCTTGTCTCTCCATCTATGTATGTTAATGGCAAGTAAAGCATAATGTCTTTAAGTCCTAAATCTATTTGTCCACCTCTTCTCCATTATTGAAAAACGAAAGTTTGCTCTATGAGTTTTGTTTGGTCTTGGATTAAAATCTGTATATATGGAAAAAGATGTATGTTATCACTATATTTTTCTCTCTCTCCATTTTCCGGAAGATCTGTTTGTTGGTATTCTTTTCCTTTCTCCTAATACAGCTTTCAGAAATATCTAGCAACAATAATAAGTTTTTGTAATTGTTTACATCAGCTAACAACCACAGCATTTGAACTGGAGAAACTGACAAATCAGAAAGTCTGAGACCCCTTAAACAATCAGGGCAAATGAGAGTCTGACTAAAGAACAAGATGTAAGAGAAAAGGACCCAGTACCTAGCACTAAACTCTTAAAATTAACTGAGATATTATTGGTAACTCACATTAGCTGTAATAAATTATATTGACTTCTAAAGGGAATTGAATCACAGAATGAAAACAATCTTACTGATGTGTCCTACATTTAAATTACGACATATGTATAAGTGCACTATATGATGAGATAATTAAGAAGTGGGTAGATTAAACAAAATTCATGATTTTAAAAGGTATCCACGGAATTTCTCTGAAACCTCATTTTAAAAATCTGTTTTGAGAGCGGCCCCTGACTCACTTGGAGAGCATGATGCTGACAACACCAAGTCCAGGGTTAAGATCCCCTTACCGGTCATCTTATAAAAATAAAAATCTGTTTTGGATGGCTATTTCCTTTATTGAAGTATTCTAATTTTCCTTCTCTTTTCCGTTTTCTATGAATGACATCTCTTAATTTTCTAGTCCTGTCACCATTATCTCAATCTCTTCCTACATTTTGATAGTCCATTACTTTTTTTCTATTTTTTAGGATTTTAATTGCTAAAAATGATACCAGATTTTCTATGCTAGTTGTAAGGATAAGGACACTAACTTTGTGAGATAAGCCATTAGTAGCCAGTTCTCCAACCACTATTTGAAAATAAAACTCCTTTGGATTTTATTTTTAACATTAATTTTTTGACATTAGGTGAAGTTTTACTTATTTTAAATTTGCTGCCTCTCAGGATATTCACATTTCTGGTAGCGTGAATTAAAATCTACATTCTGTATTCCCAGTACTGTCTCCTTTTCATTGATTTGGCATCAGGAAATACTAACATAGTAGGATTAAGGTTGATAGTAAATGTTTTATTAAAGGGTGCTAGAGCAAATGTTCTTTTAAAACACCTTACTATAGAATAGCATTTATTTCTTTCCCTTCTTTGACTTAGTATTATAAATAAAAAGTTTCAGTAATATAAAGAGCCTATATACCTTTGCATTTGGGTCCCAAAATGACAGATATGAAGAATTTTAGGTGCCAATTGATTCTTCAATGCTAAATAAAGCATTTAAGTATCTTAAATGAAAGTGCCATAGATTTAAATCTCAAGGTTGTTTTTAAGAACAAATGTGACTTTTTTTTTTTTTAAACCACTGCTTATCCTACTTATTAGAGTATGGTCTCAAATTTTGGTCGCTGAGATATGTAATTCGTTAATTTGATTCTAGGCTAGCCATGTAAAAGAGGGAGGAAGCGCTGGTCTCATTCCAAGCCAGTTCCTGGAGGAGAAGAGAAAGGCATTTGTTAGAAGAGACTGGGACAACTCAGGTGATGAGTTCAACACAATAAGTAACAAGCAATCCAGTGTGGCCACCTTTCTTTGCCTCTTCTGTCTGAATAAGCAAATGAATTTATTAAAATATATCTAGAATGAATCCCTCCCATATGCTTTATTTTAAATCTCTCTCAAAAATAATCGTTTTGATCCCTTTCTGCCACCTGCTGGTAGAGTATCAAAATTCAGTGGCTTAACTCACCCTGCCCCCTTTTGCTTCCCAGGCTGCAACATTGGGAAGATAATTCTCCCACCCCTATAGAATACTACAGTGTAATTTTATCATCTTCTGATATACTTCTTAAGTTATATTCGTCTTGTCATCCTTCAGGACCTTTTTGTGGAACTATAAGTAGCAAAAAAAAGAAAAAGATGATGTATCTCACAACCAGGAATGCAGGTATGTTTTAAATACTTTTTTAGAAATACAAGTGAGAGAGCTTTATATGTCGTTAATTAGTATAGCATAAACTCTAAATGTATAATTTAAAATGTAATTCACATTAGTACCCCATTGCAAGGGGGCTGGCATGTGAACACATGGTCCAATATAATGTAAAGAAATTATTTAAATCTTGATATTATATGTACTACAAGTGTGATTTAATTTGTGAGTATAGTTTACAACAAAATGAATTGGTGGTTAGGATTTATGCTTGTATTAATGGAGTGATGTTATAATTGAAACTATTCAGATAATTTTGAAATAGTAATTTATGTGCCATTTCTAAAAGGTAGAATGCCCTTATGAAGGTATTAAAAGAATTATGATTAAGGGCAACTGAATTCTGCCTTAACATTTGTCTATAATACTTTTGGAAAAATAGCACCAACCAAATGAATCTTGGTCTGATCTAGTGGGATTCTTTCCGAAATCTTTTAGTCTTAAAGAAAGATAAATGTTTAGAAAAAGAAAGAAATGGTAACTATGTGAAGTGATGGATATATTATTAGCTTCTTTGTGGTGGTCTTTCATAATGTATACATATATCAAAACATGAAGTCATACACCTTAAATATATATAATTCCTGTTTGTCAATTATACCTCAATAAAGCTGAAAGAAGTTTTTTAAAAACTTAAAAAATAAAATATCAGACCTGGATGGGTAGCCCTTCCCTGTTAAGGAAAGAAAAAAGACAAATATGGAAACTACCATATTTATTCTTCTCAGTTATGGAGGGTGATGGAGTGAAATGCAGTGTTTTGAATTGAAGGCTCTGGAGGCTTTATCAAAGGAATTGACCGTTTTTAAAGTACTTTCTTGACTTCAGAGCTACCTCTATACTGGTAATACATAAACTAAATAGCATACTATAAAGGAAATAATATAGAAGGAAGAAGTGGGCCTTTTCTTTCTTAGTACTGGTTTAATCTGCTTTGAAGAAACTGCAAAGAAAAAGTTGCTGTTAAGATAATTTGAGGAAGAAGTGTTATTACCACAGATTGAGAATTATAGTAATAATAATATGTAATATATGAGGGTACTTCAAAAAGATCATGGAGTCATCTTATCCTTTAATTTTGTTTTCCTGTGAACTTTTTGAAGTATATTCATAGTATTTCAAATCCACTTTGGCCTTATAATCCATTAAATATATGTCCTTAAGGCTTTTTGCAACATAGAAAAGATTATAATTTAGGGATGTGTTTCTTCTGAAAAGAGTTTGGATCCAACATTTTAATTTGTACATAAATTTCAGAATCTTAATGTTTAAATGTCAGTGTAACTATACGCATTTTATTAAACTGATGCTTACAGATTTGCCACACAGTAGTTATTCATTTATATCATTGGAAAGGTATACTCCTTCTGTGGAACTTAAATTTAAGCCGCCATCCTGTCCTCCATATTTGATATACACGTTTTCCTGTAAATTATATAAACTGATCTGTAATTTGATTATTTATATTAAAGTTATTATTTCTGACAAATTGTTAATAAAGAGGTTTCAACGGATAGAATATCTGATAAATAAGAATAAAATCATGGGAATTTTTCTAACTTGATTAGACAAATTTTTAAGGGCAAATGGATGGAAGTAGATGTTTGAATCAAAATATAAAATAATTTATTGTACTTTACCAAATTTCTAAAAACAAATATGTGCCAAGTGTGTACTGTTGCAGTGATATTTCTCTATTGAGACAACTATCCCATTACTGGACAGTATAACAGATTTTTCTCATGTATATGAAAGAGAACTGAACATGATGTTTTCCCATTTCCTTTTACATTTAGAATTTGATCGTCATGAAATCCAGATTTATGAGGAAGTAGCCAAAATGCCTCCATTTCAGAGAAAAACATTAGTTTTGATAGGAGCTCAAGGTGTGGGCCGAAGAAGCTTGAAAAACAGGTTCATAGTATTGAATCCCACTAGATTTGGAACCACAGTGCCATGTAAGTTTTCTGTGTTTTCTTTGGTATTTAATTGGCAGGAAAGAGCATGGGCATATGGGAGAGGGGGCTATTATTATTAATTATTGTTATCCCCAAATAATTTTTGATTATGCCAGTGGAAATGAGCAAGTAGAAGATACTGATACACTGAGTAATTCCATAGCTGTCTTGAAATAGTGCTGTAGTGCTTTTGGCTTGCTGCCTGGTGGCAATTGCTTCTCCAAAATATTCAGCCCAGAAATCTTAGAGTTGTGGAAAAATTGGCATTAATTTAGTATTTTCTTGTTCAGCTTATAACTATCGGAAAAATTGTATTTTAACTCATTTTAGTGTAAAGAAAAGAGGAAGCCTGCTGGATCCTCAGACATACCCAGTGCGGCAATGCTTTTCTGAATTTACGCGGTATGGCTAGTAGCTCTTAGTCCTGCAAGATTATAAACCTAATTTTTTTTTCTTTTTTTCTCCCAATTTTTTTCTTGCTTTAAAATATTTATAAAATAAAATTTACCATCTAAATCATTCTTAAATGTTAACATTTCAGTGGTATTAACTACATTCATAATGTTTTACAACCATCACCACCTTCTATCTCCATAACTCTTTTCATCATTGTTTCTCTTTTTATATAATTTTTTAATTTTTAATTGCACATACTAATTATACATATATATGGAGTACAATTTGGTATTTGGATACACATGTACAATACACAACCAAGGTAATTAATATATCTATTGCCTCAAAACCTTTGTCATGGACTTCCAGTCAAGATGGCGGAATAGACAGTCCCCAGCATTACTCTCTCCCACAAATCCATGAATTTACAACTATAAAAAAATGTAACATCAGCCAAGCTGGGGCCACTGGAGCTCAGATGAAGAGGAGGAGAGACCTATGGAACTCATGAAGGTGGGAGAAACTATGAAGAGTGAAAGAAAAAACTGTTCTCAGTGTTTTGGGCTGCAGACACTTTACTGCTGGAGCACATGGAGCAGGAGCCGGCAGAAGCCGCAGCTATGTCCTTTAGATGGAGTTGCTTGGAGGCAGAAGGGGAGAAGAGGACTTTGATGGCCCCCAGGACAGCAAGACTACTATCAGGGGTTCCCCTGGACCCACACAGGAGTGAGGAGCCAGAACAGCCGAAAAAGGGGAGCCACCCAGAGGCTGGTGAGTCATCACAAGGGACCAGCACAGGGCCCGTCCCATGGGAAGTGTTTGGAGTATGGGTGGTGAGGGAGACAGGCCCATCAGGAGAACACTGGGATACAGCAAGGACAGCCAATCTGCCCCCCAGTCAGTGCAGGACCACTCAGAGGAGACTGGTCGGGAATGCAGAATTACATGGGGGGCAGTTTGATGAAAAAACTCAGGCCCAGATCAGAGTGTCTATACAACCCAGGTGCACCAGGTCTCTGGAGAGCCAGAAGTACCTTTAAGGTCAACCGTTAAACCCTGAGCTGCACAGAAAGCCTTCCCTAGGGAAACAGCAACAAAGCAGCAATTTACCGCAACCACACAGCTCAAGTACTTGTTCCCACAGGAACAGGTTCCCCTGTCTTAGAAGTAAGCAAAGGACAAAAACTTAGTTCTGGCCCAGGCACACCACGAATGCCTTGGAGCCCACCAGGGGACATGAGGCATGGAGCCAGGGACAGGCCCCTGCCCACAACCATTCATACCACCGGCACCTTGGGGCCCCACCCAGGAACCTGAGGATTAGAGTCAAGGACCAGACCCCACTCCCACATACAGGCACACCACCAATGCCTAGGGGCCCGCCCAGGGACCCAGGGCTAGCAGCCAGGGACCAGACCCCCTTCCCACAACCAGGCACATCATGCCAGCACCTCAGGCCCACCCTGGGGACCAAGGCATGGAGAAGGGGACCAGACCCCCCACCCACAACCAGGCTTACTACGCCAGTGCCTTGGGGCCTGCCCAGGTACCCAGGATAAGGAGTTGGGACTGGACTCACTCTCCCACAATGAGGCATGCCAGGACAGCACATCAGGGCCCATCCGGGGGCCTGAGGCATGGAGAAGGGCACCAAACCTCCCTCCTACACCCAGGCACAACTCACCAGTGCCTTGGGTCCTGACCAAGGACCCAGGTAATGTAGAAGGGGACCAGACCCCCCTCCCACCACCAGGCACCCCACGCCAACACCTCAGGCCTGCTCTGGGACCTGGGACATGGAGAAGAGGACCAGACCCCCTTCCCACAGCCAGGCACACTGTGCCAGCACCTCAGGACCAGCCTAGGGGCCTGGGGTAAGGAGTTGAGGACCAGAACACCTCCCACAACCAGGCACACTGTGCCAGCTCCTCAGGGCCTGCCCAAGGGCCTGAAGCATGGAGAAGGGGACCGAACCTCCCTCCCACAACCAGGCACACCTCACCAGCACCTCAGGTCCTGCCCAGCAACCTGGGGAATGGAGCCGAGGACTGGACCCCCCCTCCCACAACCAGGCACACCATGCCAGCACCTCAGGGCCCATGCCAGGACCCGGGGTATGGAGAAGGAGACTGGATCCCCCTCCCACAACCAGGCACACTGTGCCAGCACCTTGGGACCCACTCAGGGACCCAGGGCATGGAATCAGGGATCAGACACTCTCCACAACTAGGCATACTGCCAGCACCACGGAGCAGGCCAAAAACATCTCCTCCATGTGGGTGGCCCACCACAGCCAACACGATAACTATGGCTGTCATGAAGGCGGCTAGATGCCACAACCACCACACAGATAGTCCACCAGCCACTGGAGTGAGTTGACACAAGGAGAGTCACCAGCAGAGATAAAGAAAGGAGGAGGATGTCTCTCCACAGAGCCCATTTCATAGTGACGGAAGAGACATCTGCTCTTTGCTAGTATTGGGGGACCTGATCACGCCTCTCTGCATTGGACAGATCATTTGAGCAGCAAATTAACAGAGTGATCATTATTCTTTCAGAGGGAGAGAAGAACTCTACGGTGATTAGAGGGGGGAGGGGGAGAGGAAGAGGGGATGGGGTGGGATTGGACAAGGGGCATAAAGAATAATTACAATTTGTAACAATATATATGCTAGTAATATTGATTTGATCAACATATCTCAATGTTGAACCCCAAAAATATGTATAATCAATTTTGATTCAATAAAAATTAAAAAAACAAAAAAAACACAAAAAAACCCTTTGTCATTTCTTTGTGTTGGGAACATTCAGAATCTTCTTTTCTAGCTATACAAAATTACATAATACATTATTGTTACCCTACAGTGCTATAGAACACTAGAACTTATTCCTCCTTTCTAGCTATATTTTTGTATCTGTTGACCAGCCTCTCCCTGTCTCCCCCTCCCCCCATAAACGTGATTTTTGATAGCACATCAAGAGCGATTCATCTTTGACAGGAGGCAGTGTTAATTAAGGTCACAAACAGTGATGTATAAAATAAAATAATACTGATGAGAAGTATAACCATTAAATGAACCAAACACTCATTCTGTGGTCTTTGCATTCTTTTCCTAATTGCATATTTAGATGGAAAGCTAAAAAATGATAACAGAAGTATGCTTAATGAGAAAGGAATTAGATCAAGAAGTTGGGTGATATTACTGACTTACTGTAATGAATTAGTATCACAGTGTATTAGTGTATACGTTTGTTTTTGTTTTGGAGATTCATGAACCTTTAATTGTGGGAACTTACATCCTCTTGTACCTGGACAAAGCAGTAGACAAGCTAATGTTGTCTTTATAATTCCTGTTTCTGTGCTTCTATTGCTGACCAACCCTCCTTTTAAGGTGTTTTGAGTCAAATCTTAGTCTAACACCGCTATGTCTCTTTCAAATGAATTTTAGAGTTTCTCTGGTTTTGCCCAGTATGTTTTGAGGTTTAATTCTCAGGGAGTAATCTTACTGCAAAAAGTCTTAGGAGTTGGGGGAGTAAGCTCATTGATGCCCCCAACTGCTACTTAAAATCCCTTCAGGGTAAGGCTTTGGATTCTGTTGTAGGCATTGTAAATCACTAAATTCACACAAATCCTAGTCAGGTAGTCAACAGCTAGTTAAGTAGTTAACAGAATTAAAACTTCACTGGATCAAAGTATTTTAAAGCTGTAATTGTGAAATAGAGAAAAAGTTTATTTTTCATTTTTATCAAATTATTATGTGCACAGTATTATTTATACTACTTTAAGCAAGTAGTTCTCAAAGATATTGGAAAAAAATAAGCTCCTGTCTGCTCCTACCCCACCTCTGGCTCACTTACCAGGAACAGTTGCTTTTCATTCTTTCTACTATTTCTTTTGGTAGTGTTCCATGTTTCTTAATAATGTCTTTATTCTGCTATTTACTGCTTTATCCAGTTTAGGCCCTATCTAGTAACTTTCTGACTATCCTCCCAATATAAAGATAGTTTTATTTTTGGTTAATTCAGTTTTACTTCCTTGAATAGGCACCCCCCCCCCTTTCCCCAGCAATTGTTAGAGTTCTTTTTTTTCTTCCCACACTTTACCTAATTTTATGTGTATTTGTGTATAATTTTTGTTGTTGTTTTTTAAACCAAAGACTCACTTATCCAGGAAGTAATATGTTTTTCTTGGTGACCTCTGTCTCATAACCCTCAGTCTTCCTGCTTCAGTGCATACTTCATGGTCTCCATTCTGGCTGCCTGACTATTAACATTGGGGTTATTTCCTTTTGTTGTGATCTTGAGTTGGAGCTATTGTTCCCAGATCCCATTCTTTTTCTTTCTTGGTTTATTGCCTTGTTTTGCTGGGGCACATCCTCTTGTAACTTCACAAGAAAGGGTGTATGGAATGTAATTTCTACATCTTTGTATTTTAAGATATGTATTTTCTACCCTATACTTGATTGACTATTTAGCTGAAAATAGAAATTCTGGATTATAAAACTCAAAAGATGTTGTTCTTGAATCCTGTTCTGTTAAAAGTCCAATGCCATTTCAGTTATTTCTTCATGAGTGACCTGATTTTTCTTTCACAGATATTCAGG